TTTTTTTGTTTTTTTTTATTTCATTTTTTTTCATTTTTTTTAATTTAATAATACTTATATTAATAATTTTTTATTATTAGATGCGGCATTACTATAATAAATAGCTTGGAAATGGAGTTGTAAATTATACTAAGACAGGTCATATCTAACGCCTATCATATAGCTTAATTGCTCAATGGATACTTGAAGCCTAGCACAATGTTGATTCCAATCTTATACAAAAAGCCTTTAAAGTTTGTGGCATATCTAACTCACGAGATGATAAAGAAGATCATTTAATTTTTGACTATGATAAACTTGATCAACATACAAATTCACACAACTACATATATATACAAGATGAGTTTGAAAACTATGGTAAAAGTTTAAGTGCAAGTGTTAGTGAAAGTTCAAGTGCAAGTATTAGTAAAAGTTCAAGCACAAGTATTAGTGAAAGTTCAAGCACAAGTATTAGTAAAAGTTCAAGCGCAAGTATAGGTGAAAGTTTAAATGCAAGCATTAATGAAAGTTTAAATTTAACCAACAGTAAAGGTTTTACTACAATTATTAGTGAAGACTTAGATACAAATATTGGTAAAGATTTAATACAAATTAATTTAATTTTATAATATAATTAGGTGACATCAAGAAAAAACCGACTTTGATCATATGATCAAAGTCAGGTTTTTTCTTGGTATCACAAGTATTATAAATATTAATAAATTTGAGTTTTTAATTCTGTAGAAGTAATTAATTTTATAGATGAAGATAATGAAGGCTTTAGTCAAAATAAAACTATTTATATTCATGAAAATGAAACAGAAGCTGATTTTATTTACGAACATGAAGCTGATTTCAATAATAATAATGGAGTTGCTATTGCTAATGAAGGCAATGATTATTATAAAATAGGAGAAATTAATTATATTAATGATTGGGCATAATTTTGTAAAACAAAGGCTCAAAAGTAAGTGGTATATATATCAAATGTTTTGAAAATTCTTATATATAGTTTTTTTTAAGAAAAAAACTATATAATAGGAACTTTTAAAACACCAGCATAGTAGTATTTAGCTAGTTTTTTTTTAATATAAGTAACAATTTATTTTGTTATAGTGATATATTTGAATTTAAAGGCAAAAACCTAAAGGTAAATATTCATATCTATAGAAATACTTGGATTGTTTTATTATTATTTAATATAATTAATCATTAGCATTGCATTTGAATTTAAAGCTGAAAAACACCAAAGTAAATAATATATACAGAAATGCTTGGAGTATTTTTTGTAATTATTTAATATGTTTAACAATTTTATTTAGTTATAACATTGCATTTAAATTTAAAGCCGAAAACCCAAAGGTAAATATTATATATATATGTTTTTTTGCAATTATCGAATATAGCTAATAATTTTATTTGGGCTATGCTGTTTATTTGAATTTTAAATTAAAAATCCAAAGGTAAATATTAAACATGTACAGTAATACTTAAGCTTTTTTGTGTGTAATATTTATTTGATTGTGTCATTGCATTATAATTATAGATAATCGCAATTTATATTGAAATGATAACGAAGTACTTGCAGATTAAATAGAAAAAAAAAGAGTAGATAAAAATTAATCAAGTTTTTTTACTTTAATATGTGAATTATACTTGTATAAGATGTGGGTAATAAGATGTGGATTATAATTTTTTTTACTTCTTATACAAGATTTCAATTTAAATATGTAATAAGCATTGCATAAATAAATTGCAAAGTATATTCAAATGCTGGCTAAATAAGTTAGATTTGTTTTAAAAAAAAACTGCT